AGTGTCTGAGTCAGATTTTCTCGCTGCAGCCCAAAGATGATCTCTCCTGTGCAGGAGGTCAGCTAGCTCTGGAGTAAACCAGGGGCTGTCTCGTCCCTTTATTCTGAACTGACGAAAAGGAGCATGTAAGTTCAGGAAATAAATGAAATTATTATGGAAATAGTTCCAAGCAGAGTTCACGTCATCAGTTAACAGAATACGATGCCAGTCAAAGTGAGACAGATCCCAGAGGAATGACTGTTCACAGAAATGTTTCAGATCCCTTTTTTGAATTAATCTGGGCTTAGAAGGTGGAAGTTTACTATTTCTTAAAGCCGCTGTCACACAATGATCACTCAAAAGATCAGCGAATACACCTGCAAATACAACATGGCCCACTCGAACTCATTGTCCCCCACCTCAGCTGGGATGTGGTTAAAGCTCTCCTGGAGGTGTGAGTTGAAGATCTCTCTGACAGGTTCTTCTTCCAGGCGTTCCCAGCAAACTCTCACTACACGTTTGGGTCTACCAGGTCTGTCCAGCATCATCTCCTGCCATCTGATCCAACTACTAGGTAGTGATCAGTTGACAGCTCAGCTCCTGGTCATGCCTTTTGGGCTAATCAATGCCCCTGCCATTTTTCAGGCATTGGTTAACAACGTGTTTAGAGACTTTCTGAATGTGTTTGTTTATCTGGACGACATATTAATTTACCCTAAAGACAGAGAGCAACATCCTGAACATGTCAGAGCTGTACTATAGAGACTGCTTGAAAACCAACTCTTCGTCAACGACGAAAAATGTGAATTTCACGTGACCACAATCACCTTTCTGATGTTTATATTCGAGAGAGGACAGGTTTGCTTGGACCAAACTTCCAGTTTCCGTCCGTAAGGCTGACACATTGTCCAATTTTAAGACTAGGCTTAAGACTTTCCTTTTTGATAAATCCTACAATTAGGATTGGCTTGTTACGCTGTCATAGCCTTAGACTACTGGAGGACAAATTTACATCATTTCCTTAAATGAATTGTTAAAATTGAATAGTTTTCATTTGATATTATTTCCATTTTTACAGAAACATTCATATACATAAAAAGTAAGTTAGCACTATTTATCTGAGGAGCAGACTGCTTTGAATTTAACTTTATTGCAGAATCTCATCTTGAGCAAGCATGAAGGCAACAGTGTAAAGGAAAAACTCCATCATGAGGAAGAAACTTCCAGCAGAACCAGGTTCAGGACAAGCGGCCTCCTGCTTCGACCGGCTGGGTTTGAGAGAAACAAATACTCAATGGCAGGTCGAGAATCACAACAGAGATGACTTCTGTTGTGACTTGGAGCTATATAAATACATTGAATTGTATTGAATTGAGTTTATATGACTGAAATTATTTTTCTTCTTCTTCTTCTTTTGGCTGCTCCCTTCTTCAGAGGTCGCCGCAGCGAACTAACTCGCCCAAAGACTTTGCATTTGTTTTTACGCTAGTTGAGTAAGGACGGGCATCAACAGACCACTGAGCTACCACAGTCCTCTGTGTGGAGCAGACAACTGACATCTTGGGCACCCGGGGGAGCAGATGGTAGAGTAAAGGCAAAGGGCCTTGCTCAAGGGCCCAGAGAGGAGCAAATGAGTGTGGAGGCAGGTGTGGGTGTTTCACTTTTCTCACCCACATTTTGATGATGTTGGTCCGGGGAGTTGTACCGGTGACCTTCCGATCACAGGTCCACCTTCCCTGTGCCACCACTCCCAAGATATAATAAATAACAAGGTTTTAAAAATTTTTTTTAAAACATAATATAAGTGGTTCAAAAACAAGGCATTATATAGCATTAAAAAAACACAAACAGCAGAGCTGTAGTGAAGAACAGGTTCGTTCGAGCTCTTATTTTGAAGGCTAACCGATAAAGGAAGTGATTTCCTCCTAGCAGCGGAAGCTATTCTGTTCCGTCGGTTCAATGTGTTTTCTATGTTCTGTTTTGACGAATTATGCCTCTTCTCTCCACTTCTGGTGAAATTGGTTTAATTTTGAGTTATATTCAGCTGTAACTACTCCGTTAATATTGAAAGTAAATACTGATGAACGAAAGCTAACAGAGATGTGGGGACAGCATCTGGATTCAGAGGAAGAAGAAATGGAGGATTTCGTTGAAAGTAGAGATGCTGTTGAACAGGAAAAAACTGGAGGGAGAAAAATCTTGGATGCAGTTTTCAATCCCAACGTTCAACTGCATATAATAGGTTTGTATGGTTTTATTCTTTCTGTTGAATGCGATTATGTTATAGTTTAGTCTGAGCTTTCTGGTAGCTAATGAATTTAGCTTCCCAGAAAGTACATACGATTTTTTTTATTTTTTTTTTGGAAAGGACAAACGATACGACCATGGACATTCGGTGACGGGCGGCGCCGCCATCTTGGATGGGTCTCACTCGTCCCCCAGTGCATTTCTTTGTACTGAGGAACCTGTATGCCCAACTATAACTTCCTGAGTTTTTACCCGATGTTCACACGGTTTAGTTTATGTGTCGCCCTTAAGTTTTCAATAATTTATTAATCTTACTAATCGTTCTTAGATAAATCTCAGTTTGTATTATACACTGGTTTGTTTTTTTCAAGCCTCACCTACTTTAGACACAAAACCAAGCAGTACTTATTTCCGCCGGTAGAGGGCAGCAGTGGTGTAGTTTAGAACGTCACTGACTGACGCTCCTCTGCATTTTACAGCAGAAGCAGCGAGTTAAGTCGGAAATGTGTCGACGTGTACTGCTGCTGAGTTTGTGAAATACAGATATGACAAATGACACAAGCATGAAATGATGGTTCTCAATTCTGAATTGGGTTTCTGCAATGTGCTCACCGAGTAAAAACACATCTTCTGAACCAATCTCAGCCGAACAGAATGGTTGACAAAGGACACACTGACACCTTGTTTCATTGAGTTTTGGCGAATCACACGCTGACCACCTTCGCTGTTCCCTCTGAGGGGATCATCAGCCCACCATTGTTTTAAGTTTGAAGCAGGTGGTAGCTCTGGTGAAAGGATGAGGGTACAGCAACTGTGACGAGGCTTGTACGGCACACCTCACAGGACAGGCTTTTCAGAATTTTTCTGACAACAAACCCTGAAATGTAGACCAAGGCATTGTCTACAAGAGCACCAAAGCAGGTGGGCAGGTAACTGTGGTCACAAATGACTCCAGAAATGTTTGCAAATGGGGACGGAAGCTCTTCCTTCGCTATTAAAACGGAGTGCATGTCTGCAGCTGATAGGGACACAGTCTCATTGCCAGACCCACTTGGTGAGACACAACAATGGACCGTCAGTGGAAAATGCCCTGGAACTGCCCTGCAGTGGGATTGTTATTCCAGCCTCCTAAAAAAATTTACACACTTGGATTGCAGAGATGTTTGATGAGGACAGTCAAAGCCATAAAAGACGTATCTTCTGAGGGTAAGTAAGGAAACTGTAAAACCATTTTCCCCACGGGTAGGCTATAAAAAGATACGCACTGGTGTCTGAAGAGGTCTATCGCATCAAAACATACTGTAAACTAGGGATGTACAGGTATAAATAAAAATTCAGCTAGAATTTGCCCACCCAGGTGCTACCGATATCCAGTCTGGCCCACGGACTAAAAAGACTAATTATAAATGTTAAAATTCTACCTGATGGACAGATTTGAAGAAAAGCTCCAAGTGATCCTGACTGAAGCAGTATGTGCAGACATAACGCTGAACTTGGAGCAGGTCAGGGATCATCCTAAACAATATATCCAAGTTGATGACAAAGCGCATGACTGACAGATACCTTCAAAAGAAACCATTTCATTAATATGATCATGGCAAAATAAGACACCTCAAGAGCACCTAGTATTTTTACTTATTTATTTTCAGTCTTGTGAAAGGTAATCCCACGTGATCTATTTTCAATACTGTGCCGGTTATTGCAACCATAGGCTGAACAAAATACCGGCATAGCTGCTCGCTTTGTGTTTACTCCCGTTGGATCTTAGGAAGAGGAGAGACCCATCCAATATGGCGGTGACGCAGGATGCACTCCAGTATTTTAATGAGACGTCTACATATATACGTATGTCTGTGCATGAAATTCTGCGTTTATAGCTGAGCTTGCTAAAAAATTAAATAATGTCTGAGGTTACAAAACCTAAAGTGCTAATTTTAAAGCCGTTTGTTAAATATTTACATTATTTCCACTCGCCTGGAGGTGGGTGTGAAGTTGAATGTAGGGATGTTGGGAGGAAGGAGAGAGTGTTGAGGCACCACCTGTTCTTGTTTCTTAACTTTATTTTTAAACAAACGTTTAGGAACCATCTCTAACACTAACCAGGTTAAACACTTGAACCGTTTTAGTTCAAAGAAAAAAAAACAAACACATTTTAAACAGTTTGTACTGAGTTGGTGGGGTGTTAAAGCCACAGCTTTAAGTGTTGTAAAAGGAAAGAGCTGGGGCTAAGCACCTCTTTGGCTCTGGTTTAGCACTGGAACCTGTTTGGAGGAGAAAAAATAACTCTGTGATCTGAGCAGTAAAACAAATCATGTATGTGTGAATATAAAGCTACAGTTCTCCTTACTCTATTTTACATGTGTTCCAGTGGTTCCTGCAGATGTTCAGAAGTCAGTGCTGATTAAAGAAGAAGCTCCTGAAGAACAGTGGCCTGATGTGGACCAGCAGGATACAAATTGCCTCCAAATAAAAGAGGAAGAGGAGGAACAGTGGACCATTTTGGGAGGAGAGCAGCTCAGTATCAAGGAGGAGACAGATGTCACCAGCTTTTCATTAACTGCAGTTCATTTTAAGAGTGAGGATGATGACGAGAAACCTCTGTTCTCACAGCTTCATCAACACCAAGTTGAAGTCAGTGATCTTCCAACCAGCAGCTCAGGTGACCACATAGAATCATCAACTGGTGACGGAGAAAAATATACAAAAAACCCAGATCTAAATGCTTATACAGATTCTGATTTTCCAGAAACTGAAGTTAGTGAAAATGATGAAGAGGATAATGATGTGAACAATCCTGAGTCTCAGCTGAAACTTTTATCAGATTTTGGGTTAAAAACTGAACACACTGATGAAGCCCGGGAGTCTTCACCCAGCAGGGTCTCTGAGTCAAGTGTGAACAGGGTCCACAACAAAAATGGACTGAAGCCATTTAGTTGTGATGTTTGTGGGAGAATGTTCAATCATAAGGGACATTTTAAAAGTCATATAAGAATCCACACAGGACAGAAGCCCTTTTTTTGTCAACTGTGTGAACGAAAGTTTAGCGAAAATGGAGATTTAAGCAGACACATGAAAATTCACACAGGACAGAAGCCCTTTTCTTGTGATCTGTGTGAAAAAAGGTTTACTGAAAAGAGTAATTTAAAAAAACACATGATGACCCACACAGGACAGAAGCCATTTTCTTGTGATCTATGTGGCCGACAGTTTAAAAGAAGGGAAAGTTTAATCGGACACATGAAGATCCACACAGAACAGAAGCCGTTCTCTTGTTATCTGTGTGAAAAAAGGTTTACTGAAAAGGGAGATTTAAAGAGACACATGAAAATCCACACAGGACAGAAGCCCTTCTTTTGTGATCTGTGTGAAAAAAGATTTTCTGAAAAGAGTAATTTATACAGACACATGATGATCCACAGAGGACAGAAACCCTTTCCTTGTGATATGTGTGAAAAAATGTTTACTGAAAAGAGTAATTTAACCAGACACATGATGATCCATACAGGACAGAAGCCATTTCTTTGTGATCTGTGTGAAAAAAGGTTTACTGAAAAGAGTAATTTAAAAAAACACATGAAACTCCACACTGGACAGAAGCCATTTTGTTGTGATATATGCGGCCGACAGTTTACAAGACGGGACAGTTTAAACGGACACATGAAAATCCACAGAGCAGAAGCCATTGTGACCTGTGTGACAAAAGATTTACAAAAAAGAGTAATTTAAACAGACACATGAACTCTGCACAGTACAGAAGCCATTTTGTTATTTGTTTGACCATATGTTTACCAGTAAGGCCAATTTAAACAAACGCATGACAATCCACGATGTGGGGGACAAAAGTAATTTAAAAGAACTCGTAGGCAAGAAGCCACACACATACTAATATATTTCAATTTATTTTTACATGCCTGAATCTGGTAATGAACAACATAATTTCATTAGTTTTGACCGAGAAACATTTATCTGTCTCCAACACTCATAAAATTTATTTACTCTCTTAAGCTTTTTCCTGGTAAAGTACATAACATTCACAGACTTCATTTGTAAGTATCTAAGACTCTTCAGTGTACCTGTGTAATTCTGAATAAATATCTAAATAAATTTATGCATACCAAACTATTTTAAATTTGTAGTCCATGTTTTGTATGTCTATCACAACAAAGAATTTGAACAATAAAGGTGGAGATAAGTAGTTGTATCAACTGGCAAAAAATGAGAGATCAGGCTTGAAAGGATGTGCAGCAGGTTAGGGTTGGTATAAATACAGGTGTTGGTCATAAAATTATAATATCATGAAAATTATTTGTTTCAGTAATTCTATTCAAAATGTGAAACTTGTTTATTATATTCATTCATTACACAGAGACTGATATATTTCAAATTTTTTTATTTCTTTTAATGATACAGTACTGACAACTAATGAAAACCCAAATTCATTATCTCAGAAAATTAGAATATTGTGAAAAGGTTTGATATTGAAGACACTTTGTGCCACACTCTAATCAGCTAATTAACTCAAAACACCTGCAAAGGCCTTTAAATGGTCTCTCTATTTCTATAGGCTACACAATCATGGAGAAGACTGCTGACTTGACAGATTTGTCCTAAAGACGACCACTGACACCTTGCACAAGGAGTGCAAGACACAAAAGGTCATTGCTAAAAAGGCTGGCTGTTCACAGAGCTCTGTGTCCAAGCACATTTATGGAGAGGCGAAGGGAAGGAAACGATGTGGTAGAAAAAAGTATACAAACAATAGAGATAACCGCACCATGGAGAGGATTATGAAACAAAACCCATTCCAAAATGTGGGGGAGATTCACAAAGATTGGACTGCAGTTGGAGTCAGTGCTTCAAGAACCACCACGCACAGACGTGTGCAAGACATGGGTTTCAGCTGTCGCATTCCTAGTGTCAAGCCACTCTTGAACAAGAGACAGCGTCAGAAGCATCTTGCCTGGGACTGCTGCTGATTGATCCAAAGTTGGGTTCTCTGAAGAAAGTAAATTTTGCATTTCCTTTGGAACTCAAGGTCCCAGAGTCTGGAGGAAGAGAGGAGAGGCACAGAATCCATGTTGCTTGAGGTCCAGTGTCAAGTTTCCACAGTCAGTGATAGTTTGGGGTGTCATGTCATCTGCTGGTGTTGGTCCACTGTGTTTTCTGAGGTCCAAGGTCAACGCAACCGTCTACCAGGAAGTTTTAGAGCACTTCATGCTTCCTGCTGCTGACCACCTTTATGGAGATGCAGATTTCATTTTCCAACAGGACTTGGCACCTGCACACAGTGCCAAAGGGGAGGCATATTCCACTTGTTCTGGAAACTACTCCTTCATAATCATTCTCCTCCCTTGTTAGAACATTGTCATTTCTACAGGTGTTGGTCATAAAATTAGAATATCATGAAAAAGTTGATTTATTTCAGTAATTCCATTCAAAAAGGGAAACATGTATATTCATTCATTACACACAGACTGATATATTTCAAATGTTTATTTCTTTTAATGTTGATGATCATAACCGACAACTAATGAAAACCCCAAATTCAGTATCTCAGAAAATTAGAATATTACTTAAGACCAATTTAAAAACATGTTTTTTTTTTAGAAATTTTGGCCAAAAGTTGGAAAAAATCCATGCATGCACGGAGAGAACATGCAAACTCCACCCAGAAAGGCCCCCGAACCTGGTTTTGAACCGGGGACCTGCTCGCTGAGAGGCAGCGGCTCTACCAGTTGCGCCACCACTCAAAAATAGCAAAATATAAAGTGTAAATACAATTAGTATATGAGGAGCTAAGATATAAACTAAGATACGCTAAACGAACGCCAACAGGTATGCTAAAAGATTTAAGAAATACGCTAAATACATAATATAAAATGATACCATATATTAACCGAACCTCAAAAAGCAGAATGGGAGGAAGATCTTATCAGGATCCTCTTTTGTGGAACCAACTTCCAGTTTCTTTCGGTTGGGCTGACGCGTTGTCCAGTTTTAAGACTGGGCTTACTTTGTTTTTGGGTTGGCTTGTTATGCTGCTATAAGCTTAGACTACTGGAGGACAAATTGACCTCATTCCCTTAAATTAACTGTTAAAATTAAATAGTTTTCATTTGATATTTTTATCTTAACGTGATTCTCGACTTGCGACTGTGTATCTGTTCCTCTTTCCGGTTCCTCTCAAACCCAGCCGGACAAAGGTCGACACAGCGAACTAACTCGCATGAAGATTTGGTTATTGTTTTTACATATGCCCTTCCTGTCACAACCACAGACCACCGAGCTACCACGTTTGCTAAGATAAATAACATGATTAAAAATAATTTAAAAACAAAAGATTATAAGTGATTAAAAAAGCAAAGCATCGTAAAGCATAAAAAAACGGAAACAATCTCAGGGATAAGTTGTAGTGCTGAAGAACAGTTCCGTTCGAGCTCTTATTTTGAAGGCTAACTGATACTAACAGAAGTGATTTCCTCCAAGCACCGGAAGCTGTTCGGTTCGTACGTTCAGTAATGTTCTCCGTGTTCGGTATCGAAGAACTAAGCTTCTTTTCTCTCGGCTTCTGGTGAAATTAGTTTAGTTTTGAGTTCTATTCAGCTGTAACTACTCGGTTAATGTTGAAGGTAAATAGTGATGAACGAAAGCTAACAGATGTGGAGACAGCAGGTCCAGCAGCACCTGGATGCAGAGGAAGAAGAAATGGAGGTTTTCATTGGAAGTAGAGATGCTCTTGAACAGGAAACAACTGGAGGAAGCCAAATCTTAGATGCAGTTTTCAGTCCAAACGATCAACTGCATATAATAGGTTTGTATCTTTTTATTCTTTCTGTTGAATGTGATTATGTTACAGTTTAGTCTGAGCTTTCTGGTAATTAATGAATTATTTTCCTGGAAAGGACATGTGTATCTCTGTTTATAGCTGAGCTTGCTAACAGATTAAATAATGTATGAGAGGTTACAAAAGCTAAAGTGCTGATTTTAAAGACCTTTGATTAACCAAATATTTTCGTTTTTAGTTTTACTAGATAAAAACTAACAACTGAAATCCCAAATTACCACACAAATATTTAAAATCATTGATCACTACATGGACAAAACCAGGCACAGAGTATTATTTCCACTCTCCTGGAGGTGGGTGTGAAGTAGAATGTAGGCATGTTGGGAGGAAGGAGAGGGTGTTGAGGCACCACCTTTTCTAGTTTCTTAACTTTATTTTCAAAGAACCATTTAGGAACCATCTCTAGCATCAGTCTGGTTAAACACCTGAAACGATTTTGTTAAAAGAAAAAAAATTCATTTAAACAGTTTGTACTGAGTTGGTGGGGTGTTAAAGCCACAGCTTAAAGTGTTTTAAAAGGAAAGAGCTGGGGCTAAGCTCTCTTTGGCTCTGGTTTAGCACTGGAACCTGTTTGGAGGAGAAAAAATAACTCTGTGATCTGAGCAGTAAAACAAATCATGTATGTGTGAATATAAAGCTACAGTTCTCCTTACTGTATTTTACATGTGTTCCAGTGGTTCCTGCAGATGTTCAGAAGTCAGTGCTGATTAAAGAAGAAGCTCCTGAAGAACAGTGGCCTGATGTGGACCAGCAGGATGCAAATTGCCTCCACATAAAAGAGGAAGAGGAGGAACAGTGGACCATTTTGGGAGGAGAGCAGCTCAGTATGAAGGAGGAGACAGATGTCACCAGCTTTTCATTAACTGCAGTTCATTTTAAGAGTGAGGATGAAGAAGAGAAACATCTGTTCTCACAGCTTCATCAACACCAAGTTGAAGTCAGTGATCTTCCAACCAGCAGTTCAGGTGACCACATAGAATCAGCAACTGGTGAAGGAGAAAAAGATTCAAAAACCCCAGTTCTAAATGCTTATAGAGATTCTGATTCTTCACAAACTGAAGTCAGTGAAGTTGATGAAGAGGATAATGATGTGAACAATCCTGACTCTGAGCTGAAACCTTTATCAGACTCTGGGTCAAAAGCTGAAGACACTGATGAAGCCCGGGAGTCTTCACCCAGCAGGGTCTCTGAGTCAAATGTGAACAGGGTCCACAACAAAAATGGACTGAAGCCATTTCATTGTGATGTTTGTGGACGACGGTTTATTCAAAAGGGATGTTTAAACAGACACATCAAAATCCACACAGGACAGAAGCCATTTTGTTGTGATCTTTGTGAAAAAAGATTTACTGAAAAGTGTAATTTAAAAAAACACATGAGAATCCACACAGGACAGAAGCCATTTTGTTGTGATCAGTGTAATCAAAAGTTTACCGAAAAGGATACTTTAAAGAGACACATGATGATACACACAGGACAGAAGCCCTTTTCTTGTGATTTGTGTGAAAAAAGATTTACTGAAAAGGGTAGTTTAAAAAAACACATGAAAATCCATACAGGACAGAAGCCATTTTGTTGTGATCAATGTAGTCAAAAGTTTACAGAAAAGGACAATTTAAAGAAACATATGATGATCCACACAGGGCAGAAGCCCTTTTCTTGTGATCTGTGTGAACGAAGGTTCATTCAAAAGGTCAGTTTAAAGAGACACATGAAAATCCACACAGGACTGAAGCCATTTTCTTGTGATCTATGTGAAAAAAGGTTTACTGAAAAGGGTAATTTAAAAAAACACATGAAAATCCACACATGACAGAAGCAATTTTGTTGTGATCCGTGTAGTCAAAAGCTTATCAAAAAGGTCAGTTTAAAGAAACATGATGATCCACACAGGAAAGAAACCCTTTTGTTGTCATTTTTGTGACCGAATATTTACCAGTTAGGGAAATTAAACAAACATGAGAATCCTCATTGGAGAAAAAAGTAATTTGAATGAACTCATGGGCAAGAAGCCACACACACATACACACTAATATATTTAAATTTGTTTTTTAATATGCATGAATCTAGTGATAAACAACAAAATTTCACTAGTTTTGCCTGAGAAACATTTTCTGTCTCCAACACACTCATCTGTTATGCTTTTTCCTTTTAAAGTACATAACATTCAGAGTGTAGTTGTGAGTATATAAGCATCTTCAGTGTACCTGTGTAATGCCTAATAAATATCTAAATAAATTTATGCATACCAACCGATTTTAAATTTGTAGTCTACAGGTCCTTCTAAAAAAATTAGCATATTGTGATAAAGGTCATTATTTTCCATAATGTAATGATAAAAATGAAACTTTCATATATTTCAGATTCATTGCACACCAACTGAAATATTTCAAGTCTTTAATTGTTTTAATACTGATGATTATGGCATACAGCTCATGAAAACCCAAAATGCCTGTCCCAAAAAATTAGCATATCATGAAAAGGTTCTCTAAACTAGCTATTAACCTAACCATCTGAATCAACGACTTAACTCTAAACACCTGCAAAAGATTCCTGAGGCTTTTAAAAACTCCCAGCCTTGTTCATTACTCAAAACCGCAATCATGGGTAAGACTGCCGACCTGACTGCTGTCCAGAAGGCCATCATTGACACCCTCAAGCAAGAGGGTAAGACAGAAAGAAATTGCTGAACGAATAGGCTGTTCCCAGAGTGCTGTATCAAGGCACCTCAGTGGGAAGTCTGTGGGAAGGGAAAAGTGTGGCAGAAAACGCTGCACAACAAGAAGAGGTGACCGGACCCTGAGGAGGAGTGTGGAGAAGGGACGATTCCAGACCTTGGGGGACCTGTGGAAGCAGTGGACTGAGTCTGGAGTAGAAACATCCAGAGCCACCGTGCACAGGCGTGTGCAGGAAATGGGCTACAGGTGCCGCATTCCCCAGGTCAAGCCACTCTTGAACCAGAAACAGCGGCAGAAGCGCCTGACCTGGGCTACAGAGAAGCAGCACTGGACTGTTGCTCAGTGGTCCAAAGTACTTTTTTCGGATGAAAGCAAATTTTGCATGTCATTCGGAAATCAAGGTGCCAGAGTCTGGAGGAAGACTGGGGAGAAGGAAATGCCAAAATGCCAGAAGTCCAGTGTGAAGCACCCACAGTCAGTGATGGTCTGGGGTGCCATGTCAGCTGCTGGTGTTGGTCCACTGTGTTTTATCAAGGGCAGGGTCAATGCAGCTAGCTATCAGGAGATTTTGGAGCACTTCATGCTTCCTTCTGCTAAAAAGCTTTATGGAGATGAAGATTTCATTTTTCAGCACGACCTGGCACCTGCTCACAGTGCCAAAACCACTGGTAAATGGTTTACTGACCATGGTATTACTGTGCTCAATTGGCCTGCCAACTCTCCTGACCTGAACCCCATAGAGAACCTGTGGGATATTGTGAAGAGAAAGTTGAGAGACGCAAGACCCAACACTCTGGATGAGCTTAAGGCCGCTATCGAAGCATCCTGGGCCTCCATAACACCTCAGCAGTGCCACAGGCTGATTGAAGCAGTCATTCATGCAAAAGGATTCCTGACCAAGTATTGAGTGCATAACTGAACATGATTATTTGAAGGTTGGCGTTTTTTGTATTAAAAACACTTGTCTTTCATTGGTGGGATGAAATATGCTAATTTTTTGGGACAGGCATTTTGGGTTTTCATGAGCTGTATGCCATAATCATCAGTATTAAAACAATTAAAGACCTGAAATATTTCAGTTGGTGTGCAATGAATCTGAAATATATGAAAGTTTCATTTTTATCATTACATTATGGAAAATAATTACCTTTATCACAATATGCTAATTTTTTGAGAAGGACCTGTATGTATATTTTTTGTTGCATAAGATAAATATTTTATGGTTAATGATCAGTTAATTTGTTACTTTCAAAAATGTTGTCTCTGATAGATGACATACTTCCGGTCCCTGGGGGCACAAGAATCATAGCCCATAGACTCGTTAAAAGCTGAACATGTGCAGTTAGCTCCTCTTCGTTACAAGAGATAGGAAGATTCTGGGCGCACCACTCCAGTGCCCTGATTACCGGCACACCGTACGGATCGTGCTTCTGGTCCCTCCGTCCCGATGCAGATTAATTAATTAAATTAATTAATTTATTTATTGTCCTGCAACAGATTGTGCATTGACACACAACTAGGCTATGTATGAAATATTATTTAGCTCTCAGACAGCAGCACATTTAAAAGAGGCACAGCATTAATTTTGATCAGGTAGATAGTTGGGAGACCCGCCATTGCATTTGGTGCTAGGTTTGTTTATGCCTGCTGGGACTGGAGGCGACGTGGAAAATTCTAACGGAAGTCATCATTAGTGTGCCTTATTGAAATATTATTTACACGTAGCTGTCAGGTCATTTAAAAGAGGCGCAGCATTAATTTTGATCAGGCAGATAGTTGGAGACCTGCTGCATTCGGCACTGGGTTTGTTTATGCTGGCCTTGGCCTTGTGTAGAAAGGAGAGAGGACTTGTCTGTCAGGAGGCGAGGTCCTACTCTCTGGAGACAACGTGAAAAATTCTAACAGCAGTCATATTTACTGTGTTTACACAGGTAAGGAATTAGTTAATAAAGCGCGCAGACATGAGCATGAGTTAGCGAACCGATTAGTCTGTGATGCGTGCATGTGAGCTAGATGATGACACGGGAGTTGATTTTCACTCCTGTCCTCTCCTGGTCCCACAGAAAAAATCTTGTCCAGTCCCAATCCTGGACCAGAGTAAAAAAAAGTCTCCTGTCCTGTACCACTCCTGGGAACATGACTCCTGCTCCCATCCTGCTCACATTCAGAATGACTACCTCTCCTATACTGCTCCCATTTTTTTTCTCTTCCATTTAGTCTTTAGGAAATACATTGAATGTGATTTGATCTTCTACCCATTCCCTTTTATATTCTTACTTTATTAGTTTTCTTTCAAAAGATATGGCAACAGGAAAAGTTAATCTGTGGTGAAATAGGGAGGCATTTATTGCCTTAATCCAAACAAAAACCTTCACTAATGGTCACAACACAAATAATACATGGTCTGTAGTCCTTATAAAAAAGGTTTGTAAACTCAATAATCCAGGTAGATAACAACAAAAATGGTTAAATCATGTCATCTGGGCTAGTTTCTTAATATGGAAATGCGTGGTCCCTATAGTTTTTCTACGGAGGATCAGCTGCTGAGTCCCTGTTTCTAGCTCTTTTGGAGGTCAGTTACAGTAAAAACAAAAAATAAAAAACAACAGTACATGGGCACACTATGAACCCAAACATAACATATAAAATTGCATTTTACTAACTTACTGAACAATTGTTTCCTTTAAACAGAGACATTAATGCCATGTTCCATATTGCTTAAAAAAATGTACCGAGCAAGATAACTCAATAAATAAAAATGCTTAAAGGCATTCTTATACATTGGATGACGTCCTCAAGAAGTTCACAATAGGTAACAAGCTCGTTTTGACGAAGCAGCATGTCATGCAGCTTACCAGACTTCAGAGCATCATTTACAGACTGGAGCATTGCAAGTCTGGTATTCCAGAGTGAAGGTTTATTGAAAGAAAAACTACAAAATACTGGTGCCTGTCGAAAGTTTTTTATTTTTATTTTCTTTTTTGTTCTATTGGTTGGTTCCCGTGCCTGTCTGGTCCTGTTAGCTTTTCATCCTGTCCCATCCCAATCATGTGAGTTATATTAAATTTGACTCCTGCCGTGCCGGAATCCTGCGGGAATACCGTGACCTGCGGGACTCCTGAAAAAACGTCATCCTCTAGTGTGCAGTAGCATGGGAACGATAGCTCATTAATAAAGTAAATTGAAATTGAATTGAAATTAATTGAATTAGTAAAGTGAATGAGAGCTGTGAACGATGCAGGGTTTGTGAGGCTCCTGGAGGATGATAGTTTCAGTTTCTTCCTGAAACTGTTTCATCTCATCATGCCTCATGGATATTCTCTACAGCCAGCTCCAGAAGCAGACCATCGACTCAGTCTTTTTTCAAGCAGCAGCAGTTGGCAGACAACATACAAAAAAATCAGGTAAATTAATGTGTATGTTGTGCTGTTTAATATTACTGCTATTTTGTTATCTTATGCTTGAACTACTTCACATTACTTGTTTATTTACCTGATGACTAAAGATGAACTGTTCTCTTCTGGTCCTGTTCAGAGATTCTCTCCCTACTCTCTGTGGAGAACAGTGGCAGTGTATCCCAGCTGGCCAAGAAACATGACATACTGGACCCAGGTGATCTTCAGAGTGTCCCCACAGAGGTGAGATAGAAGCTAAATGTGCGATATAGGCATTTGTGCTGTTTTGTGAAAAAGTGGGAGCACACCTCAGAGTCAGAGTTTCTTTATTTGTCATTCAAAACACATGTGGTACATGTGGTGGAACCACATTGTGTACACAGGGTCACAGTTAAATCAAACAAAAAATATAAAATATAAAAGAAAAACTGTAAGAAGATCTAAGATATGAACTAAGAAAAATGTTAACTAAAAATACGCTAAGCACAAGCAGTACAAAAACAATACGCCGAACAGCAGCACAAACATGAGTCTGTGTGAGCAGATTAGCACGAATGAACACGGCAACATGAAACAGATCAGCAGCAACATGAAACAGATCAGCAGCAACATGATGTGATTTTTCACAGTGATTATTCTGGTTAGAGATTCATGAGTCTAACAGCCTCAGGGTAGAAGCTGTTCCGCAGTCTAGTGGTTCTACACTTAATGCTCCTCAACCTCCTGCGTGAGGGGAGCAGGGCAAAAAGTGTGTGTGCTGGGTGAGTGGGATCCTTCATGATGCAGGTGGCCCTCTCCCTGCATCTGGAGGTGTGGATGTCTGTGATGGTGGAGAGTCTGACTCCGACAGACTTCTGTGCAGCCTTCACCACTCTCTGCAAAGCTTTTCTTTCTGCAGCTGTGCGACCGCTATATCACACGTTGATA